GAGTGAAAAAAACAAAACAAAAGACGTAATACAAAAAAGTCTTGCAGTCAAAATTTGCACAAATACGGTAAAAAAAAAAAGGTTCCCCGTCGTTCTGTGAGTAGACACTTTTAGAGTGCAATCTCAAAGTAAGTGGAAATACTACATCCTGAAGAGACACTGAGATAAAGAGGGATACATCTGAAGCAAAGTTTAGTAGCAAAAGACAAACAGAAGCGCCAGTGGAATTTCTACCAGCACTTGCTACAGAGCCTTTAATCTGCGACTCTATACCTGCTCCTCTATATTCAGCATCTCTGCTCTCCTGTCGTCTCATAGCTCCTTATATCTTGGCACAAAGCCACTTCACACATGATCAGGGTGCACAAGACAGGAGCTTCAATATTTCAGGACGTGCTGGAGCCCAGAATGCCCGGTGAGCATTAACCTTTTAACTGTTTTCAATGTCGGCAAAAGACACAAAGCAGGAAAAACAGGAAAGAGTTGTTTCTCACAAATCCTCCTACCTCCACTACCAAGATGACCATGCCTATGGTTCCCAGCAGATACTTATTGTCATCCAGCCATTCCTCCACTTTCTCAAAGCAGCCCTGAAAAAAGGAACAAAACCATGTTAAAATACCATTAAAATATACATTTTCAGTTGGCGATGGCTGCCCCCTGTTCAGTTACCCAGGAGAAAACTCAATCATCTGGTTTGCAGTTTTCCCGCACCAAAGGATTTCTTTAATGTGAGCTATACCGTAGGATGGATAACTAGCAGGTGAGTTATTAAACGCAGCTGAGTTATTGTGAGCGATGACATTTATATGCAGACGTATGGGACACATGAGCCGACGAGCGCACTAATCGTACGCTTAAATACATTCCCACCTGGGTTCATGCAGAGGCTACTCATTGGCAGGGATATAACACGACACACTTAAGGGCGGTTTCAGCAGCAAAGCTGTGCCCCTGCTGGTCTGTGGTTGCTGAGGCAGCATGTAAAGTTAACTACAAAGCGTGTGGCCATCTCCTCTGGGCAAGATTACACACAAGCTTTTAATGATGAGCTTTCCCAATGGGCCAGCTCAATGTCTGTCTTTTCTCATTTTGGCAATTATATTACAGCTTTTAATCCTCTACTTTGGACACGCTAACGAACCACATGCCAGACCAATAGCAGATTAGAGTAGTAATACGAGGGAAAACTGGTGAACATTGTGCTGCACGGTTTTGTGAGAAAAGAAGAGCTGTTGTCTCGAGAACAATAGAAAAATCCATTGGATTTAGGCAATAAGAGGGAAACTTTAAAGCGACTTTAAGTACCCACAAAGTGTTGGAAAAAACAACAGTGGATTAAAGCTTACAGATGCATGCCTCTTTTGAGTTTGGGGAGCAGAAATTGGCAAGTATTGCATTTTAGAGCAACAAAAGTGTAATTTAAAGGCAATATGTTAGAGCACTTCAATGTGGCGTTAAAAAGTAGGACGCTGTGGATCTAACTTTGCAATGCATCACGAGTTAATGGGAAGAAAAGTATCAACAACCCCCAACACGGAGCAATTGTTCACTCTGTAGTCGCTTTGTGTTTTTGTTTTGCTGTCCCTTTCGTTCACTTTTGAGTGTTTTTCTTCGTGGTCACTTTGTTCCTCTTAATTTGTCTCTTCGCAGCTGTTCATCGGTATGCTCGTCCGCACCTCTCTGTAATAGTTTCCGCCTCGAGTTGTTTCGTGTTGTTTTCCTGTTATGGACATTTTGCATTTTGAGTCTGTTGAAGTGTCTATGGTGGTTTTGTCTTTGTGGTTCTTTCACAGCTCTGCAGCTCTTTTGTTAATTTAAGCCAAAACCAAAAATGCACTAACAAAATCGTTTCAAACCAAAACTTCTTGTACGCAAATCTTCGGTGAAGCACAACTCAACACTGCAACAACAGTGAGAAAACCTGTGATCACTAAAACAAGGTAAGTATGCTGATTATTTTAAATGAGCCTAACTGTATGAGCATGGTTATAACATGACAACTTAATTTGTTAATGAGTTGGGAGTTAAGTGAGTTTGGGACCCATATGGAGAAGAATTGTCTGAAACAGGGGTCTCAAACTCAAATGAGCCGCGGGCCACTTCTGGCACTGTCATCTCATTGGAGGCCACTTCAGTGTCCAAGTACAAAAAAACAAACACGAAAACACCCACGAATATTTCCTAAAATGTAGTGTTTTGTTTGTTTTATTTAATTCAAAATATTGTGTAACAAGACAAAATTGCAAACATGAAGGCAATTTTTTCTCACTCTTAACTATCTGAAGCCTTTCAGTTTCAGTTGTCATATGCAAGTTAGCACAGCGTCAACATTGCAAGGAAATGTATTTGACGAGCAGAAGACAGTCACTCAGCAGTGTAGTGCAGTAGTTTCATTGAACTACCAAATATACAGCTCTTTCTGGCCAGACACGTGGAAGCACTTTTGCTACAATTTTGTTTGTATTTAACAAAATAAAAATGCAGACATAAGCGTACACATTAGTTTTCGACTGCAAGTGAAAATTGTTTTCTTTCTAAATAAATCTCTCACTGAACCAACACAGCCCTCAGCATGTTTGCACGCTCTTGTTACCTCGGTTACTACCCTTGGAACGAGCTTTACTGTCTGGATCAACTTTGCTAGCGAGAGACAGAGAGAGGCGTTGAAA